GAACCCATTGTCCCATATTAAAGGGATACTTCACACGTTGAAACATGAATCTGTATTGACATTGGGTCATATATGTAGTAGAAATGTGAAATAAATTTTGAAGTTGGTGCCTTCTTGGCCGAGAAAAGGCAGAAATTGTCTTTTTGGCTCATGTGGATGAAAGAAACCAAATCCCAGAATGCACAGCACCGCAGGCCACTCCCACTCCCTTCTATTTCAGAATCAGAATCAAAAATACTTTATTAATCCCAGAGGGAAATTCGATCTTTACAGTTTCTCCGAAATATTCAATATAGCAGTAGAAATATAGTAATAAAAACATTTAGAGACATATTTACTTTAACACATGAGGCCATTTCCTCAACTGATTCAGAGATTTCTTCCAGAATTGATCTTGGAAATTCCTGGCAGAAAACAGACTCTGTGTCTGTATCCATACAGCTGCTAGCATAGCATAGTGGCCCCGGCAGCCGGCTATATTTATATCTTTTTGCCATTATCAGCTTTCTCCATAGAGCCTGTTAGCATAGCTTCCAAGCAATATGGCGGACATTAAGTTTCAATTTTGGGAGTGAGTTCCCATCCACTGATCTGTGATAGGTCTGTAGCTTCAGTGGTCAAAAATATGAGGAACTAGCGTTGTAGTTTCACCCCGCTAACCACAACAGCTTCCAGTGACTCAAAAAATGTCATTTTGCATCACTGGAAGCTCCTTTTCTGACTTAGAAATACAGAACTTTCCAGTCTCAGGGGGAAATGAGGGCTGGATGCACGACCATTCAAAAATACTACAAGTTTATACAATTTGTTGATCAATTTCAAAATAAAACACAATATACAGTCTCCCAATCTTATATTCCATCACTTTATCAACATTTTGACAAAAAACAGGAACTGAATGAACAATGAACCTAAGAAAAAAAAAATCAACAAGATGTCTGCATGATTGAAACTGGCTCAAAGTGAAGGATTTTAAGAACGTTTTATTTTATTATCTTTGATAAATTCATCATGGTGAACACACTAAAAATAAAATATCAACACCCCTTTCCTTCTGTTGTCAATTGAAATGCAATGCGAGTTAATGCATTTTGTTTTAAATGAGTTCAAATTTCGGCCACAAAAAATCTGAACGATTTAACCACATTTTATTTGTGTCCAAATGTTGAAAACAAAACAATTTATAGGCTTCATTTGTGTTAAGACTTCAGCCTGTGGTTATACAGCCATGAGAAGTTAAAATTACAATAAAAGTTATTTGATCTAAATATTGAACATTATAGCACAAATGTGAAAGTCTTCGAATAATAAAACTATTATTTTAAAAACTGTGATTTTGATGATCAAGTTTCTAACATAATATTTGTCATTTCCTGTTTAAGAAGAAAAAGTAATAAGTTAAGTAAATATTTTCCATCTGCTTTAAAATGTATGAAATGTAAAAATCTACGTGATTTTACATTTTTAAGCCTTCAGTAAGGCACACGCACTTTATACTCGGAAAACAACATTTTTGTTTTAAAATGCATATTTTGCACAGAATATGGATTGATGTGGATACAGAAATATTTTGAATTAGGCTAATTAACAAATAACATTTAGTCTAATCTCTTATAGATATGTGTATAGGCTAGCCTATGCTAGTTCTGAGGAACTGTGAAACTCAGTCTACCTTTGAGTTTATCTCAGCACTGATCATGTTTAATTATTCATAACTTACTGAGCTCCATACAGCAGACAAACAAAGGATCAATAAACATAAACTCTAAAACTCACCTTTTCCCCATGAGAAATACAAGTGTTTCAGTTTTTATTGATTTATTATGAAAATCAGCTGAAATGTTCACGGTGTCAGTGAGCAGTCTGACCAAACTGCAGCCCAGACCTCAGCCATCATCAGTGTGTTTGCTGCCATCAGAAAAACGTGATTTTATCATAAAGTGATCATCAACAGATGTTTGTTTTCACTCTGAGTCTCTGAACAAACATCCGCAGCTGCAGGAAAACGACTTTTCATGGAGCTCTGATGTGATTTTAATGATTTTAGGAGAGAAATGAGCGTGAAAAGCCGCCGAGCAGAGCTGGTCGGGACGGTGAATGTGTGAGGTTTGGAGGCTCCACAAAGAAAAATGATCGAGCAGCAGAGCTCAACATGACTTCAATATGAAGAGACACAAGTCCCCTATGAGCTCCTTCACTTTCAGCCTTCAGCACGGCTCCTACATTTAGTTAGGACTATTTTTATCACCGACAGAAAACACAAGTTGACCGATTTTAACACGGCACAGAGACGCGGGGTGGGTTGAGTCTCTACGGTTCTCATGGTGGGTTTAAGAGCAGCCTCGAGAGCAGGGACTCCCAATAGTTGATCCACTTCCTGTGAGAGAGACACTCCGAGAAAACTATGGCAGAAGTAGCACCAGCCCCGGCCAAAGAGGCAAAGAAGAAGGCCCCCAAGCCGAAGAAGACCGGCCCCAGCGTCGGCGAGCTCATCGTGAAATATGTGTCCGCATCCAAGGAGCGGAGCGGCGTGTCCGTGGCCGCCATCAAGAAGCTCCTGGCTAACGGAGGCTACGATGTGGAGAAGAACAACAGCCGCGTCAAAGTCGCCATCAAGAGCCTGGTGGCTAAGGAGATTCTGATCCAGGTCAAGGGGATCGGAGCCTCCGGCTCGTTCAAGATGAACAAGAAGGCCGAGGAGAAGAAGACAAAGAAACCGGCAGCCAAGAAAGCCGCTCCTAAAGCAGTCAAGAAGCCCGCAGCTAAGAAACCTGCGGCGGCCAAGAAGCCCAAGGCATCGGCAGCTAAGAAGCCAGCAGCCGCCAAGAAGTCCCCGAAGAAGGTCACGAAACCCGCAGCTGTCAAGAAATCAGCCAAGAGCCCAAAGAAGGCCGCCAAGAGCCCCAAGAAGACAGTGAAAAAGGCCCCCGCAGCAAAGAAACCCTCCGCAGCCAAGAAAGCCCCCGCTGCCAAGAAGGCCCCCGCTAAGAGGGTCGCCAAACCCAAAACCAAGAAGGCAGCACCCAAGAAGAAGTGAGCTGTCAATCAGCGACCCCACTAAAACGGCTCTTTTAAGAGCCACCCACATCAAACATAAGAGTTCATTCCTACCTGTCAAATGTATTAATTGTTTTATAAAGTAAATTTAGATCAGATAATAATTCAACTTCAATGTATTTTATATGGATGGAATTAAGTTATTAATAGATCAGTACCAAGGAAAATAATAACTTAATAATAAATTGTCCATGTGAGAGATTAAAGTAAAGTACTCTGCACATGGATTAATGGTAGATTCGATTAATGAAAAGGTTGGAGATTAAATGGACTCTAAACCTACCCAAATCATTACCTGGAGAAAAAACAATGTTGAACTGTAGTATAAAAGGCACAAACCAGAGGTCTGGGAACACATTAACTGTTCACTAACATTTCAATTACCTTGCCAATGCCCTAAGCAGAAGTTGACATGGACAGGTGGAATAAAGAGCTTGAACTATAATACCCCTTAATTATACAAATTTGAAAACAAAAGGAGTAGAAATTAAGGCCCATTACAATTTGAAATGATATGTTCCATGGAGGACTAATTAGATAACCAACAGGATATTTCTATACACGAATAAACAGGATAAAGTAGTTTTAGCTGCTTGGTTAATTTCTGTAAACGTCCTGTGTTATTTTAGAGACGATGAAAATTGGTGTCAATTATTATAATCAGTGGTATAGTTTTCTCTGAATCCTTCACTGATAAGACTGGTACTGTGAGTCATAAACACAAGGTTGTTATTTATCGGCACATGATTTGACGACGGAGGATTAGGGCCACGTTAAAGAAAAAAAACATGACTTAAGTGACTGCTTTGAAAGTCGGTTTATTGATCATTCATTTTGGCATTTGAACATTTAAAACAAAGCTTGTTAATTTAAATAATTAAAAAAAAAATGTAAAAAAAAACAACAACAAAAAAGTAACACATCACTCTTAAGAATACATTAGAAATAAAAGCCAATACGCTTGGCGGAGTACATTATTTGTTGCGTCCTTTGACATGCTAATAAACAGTTTATATTGGACATACAGTTGGCTATAGTAGAGGATATTTGTATTTTAAGGCTAGTCTTTTCTAGTGATGTGTAGTCCGTGATCTGGGTGAACGAGCTGAACTGAAACACTTACTGAAAAGAGTTGTTCATTTCTCAACTTCAGTTGCGCTCTCCTCTCTCCCGTCCCGTATCTCTCTCTAGACCGCAAGAGTCGCTCAAAGCCCGCCCTCCCTCTCATGTCCGTGATCCGTACTGACTTATTACTCACCACCGGCTGTTCTCAGTACGATCGCGAGCAGAACTAAACGTTTGGCTGTGTTTCAACTTATTAAATTCTGAATCACAGACAGAAGTGCAGAGAAGTACATAACGAATCACTTTCCTGAACTGCTTTTCCCATCACTAGTTTTTCTGCAGAGCAAAGCCCAGTAATGTGTCCGTGCTAGATATTTGTCTCGTGGACCTTATTGTCGGCATTACCTGGTTACAAACAGAAACCATTTCTGAGTTTGTTATGGATTTCGTTAAGTTTAAGTCATTTGGTTTCTTAGAGTAAACCTGTACCTACAATTGCATCAGTCTGAATAATCATTAAAATACATTTCCTCCTGAGCACGACCAACATCTGAGACTGAGATCATAAAACATTTTCATTTCGTACAGGTATTTCAGCTCTTCCTGAAAGAAGTGGGTGGTCCTTAGAAGGACCTTTGGATGTTGTTTGTTAATTGATCGGTAGTTTTACTTGGAGCTGGTGTACTTAGTGACGGCCTTGGTGCCCTCAGACACGGCGTGCTTAGCCAGCTCTCCGGGCAGCAGCAGGCGGACAGCGGTCTGGATCTCCCTGGAGGTGATGGTGGAGCGCTTGTTGTAATGAGCCAGACGGGAAGCCTCCCCGGCGATACGCTCAAAGATGTCACTCACGAAGGAGTTCATGATGCCCATGGCCTTAGAAGAGATTCCAGTATCGGGGTGGACCTGCTTCAGGACCTTGTACACGTAGATGGCATAGCTTTCCTTCCTGGACTTTCTCCTTTTCTTGCCGGTCTTGCTGACGGTCTTCGTAACAGCTTTCTTGGAGCCCTTCTTGGGCGCTTTCACTGGATCAGGCATGGCCGGTATCGAGTAGGAGGCAAAGACGGATAGGTATTTGGTTGTCTCGTCGTTGCCTATATAGGGTCTTGATGCAAATAACATGTGCTGTTGCCCCCAAATGAAATGTGCTGTTGCTCGCACAGGATTGGCTGAGATTGGAGCGCGTGAGGCTGAGTAGCAGTGGGGGAAGGAAGGCTGAGTCCTACTCAACAGTATAGTCAATACATGGAGTCTGGACCCTTTGAAAATATATAACTTTGGGCCATAACAACACAGAGAAAGGCATAAGTGACCCTCAAAGAGCTTTAAGTGACTTGTGGGGTTGACTGCTTCAACTGGTGGGTCGGCTGCTTCGTCAGCCATGTTACCAAGAATCACACTTTGATATTATCACGTGACCTTTTATTCATTTCTTCTGCACAGCTAACTGGAACAGCATTTCGTCAGCAGCCATGGAGTACAACCACAGACTGTAATTACTGGACGAACCCTGACCCGTCTGTGACATAGGCAGCAAATGAGTCCAATCGAGGGCCGCATCCATATTGGATTTGCAGTCTCAACCTAACTTCGGATCAACCTAACGACAGCAGTAAGGCGGGACCGGCGGGACTTAACTCCGCCCATTCAGCTCGACGTTAGCAGTCCACTTCACAACATAGCTTACGGCTAGGCTGCTATCATCCAATAGTGCTTTCCTGCTCGTCCTGAGTTATCTCTATAAACAATAAGTTAACATTTAACTTTTCTACAACACAATTAAAACGAATTATCTTCAACCCAAATATTTAATTAAAGTCTTAAAACTACACTTTTTAAAATATACATCTCAGAGAATGTCAACAGCGACGTGGGTGAACATGACAATTGAAAATTAATGTTTTGTTTTTATTATAAGACATTTGTTTTCTCTAGAACCCCATGAAGTCATGGAGTCTGTGGACAGTGTCAGCTTCACACCAAAAACTTTAAGTATTAGAAAAAAATGTGTTTAAGACTGGCATCTATTATTATGAGTTGCAGGCTTTTTGAATGTGGTTTTTCAGATTAAATAAATATTTCTATATAAATGCACTCCTTTATGTCTACTTATGAGTATACATTTCAGATTTGAAATGACAAGACTAAAATGTGCATTAATGCTCAACTCAATAGCTTAGGGAAGGAAGTCTACTTTTACACAACTTCTTATTCTTTTGACATTTTTTTTTTACCAAATACTAATGTAGTTCATTTCTGAAAGTGGGATGGAACAGAGTCATTGCAAAATATGCCCTTAAACACAGCCCCATTCTTAAATCAAGATACACCAACAGTAAATAAGATCAAGATCAATCAATCAACTGTTGAAAAGTCAATCTGAAGAAGCTCGAGCATGTGACATGGATCCAGGAGAACATGGACTTTTAGTGAGGGGTCTTCAGGATGGCAAAGAAAGAGAGAAAATATCAGTTATTCATTAAATCATTTTTTTGTGAATTTTCTGTCTTCATTTACGTCTAAGAGCACATTATAAATTCAACAGTGTACTACCCAGACAACAAAGGTACAGTATTCAGATAATCAACATCTGTTCAAAGTTAAGAAGATAAACCTTATTGTAATCATGCTGTTTTCAGCTCTCTCACTCACACAATGATATTCCACATCAAATGGTCTCAGATTTTGTGAGGAAAAATTAAGCAGTTTATTGTGGATAGTACTTCATCTTAACATGAAACAAATATAACCTGAATTATTTAAATCATTAACAGGTCCCAACTCTCTGTGCTTCAGTACAGAACATACAGTAACTCATTTATTATTAACATGAGCTCAGTACATGGCTGTATTCTTCAAACTATTTCTTGTACTAATTGCTTTATATCTTATTTTCATTCCATATGTTATTTATATTTTATATTTATACTGCTATATTCTGTGTAAGAGCATCTGTAATGATTAACAACTATATTAATAACCAGATTAAATTTCCCTGAACTCATACAAATTGATTTTTTTTTAAATTTGTTAACAGTTTGCTCAAATCTTAAGACACTACGTCAACCATTAATGTCATCCTCTATAACCTATACAGCATGTTAGGTTCAGTTGAGTTTAGTTTAAGTACTGACAGATAATTACTACAAAGTTTGTTTTTCAATGTTGACATTTACGTGGAGTATAACATTCATCATAATGTCAGATAACCACCGAGGTGAACCTTTAGCTTCTAACATCACACAAACTCACTATTTTCAATATCTTAACAACAAACATTTTTGAATCATTGTAAATAATGTAAATAATGTAAATAATGGGCTACACTGAGTACAGTTAGCCGACTGGTTTATAAGCTAACGCTAAACAAGCTAGGTCCGTAAATATAAATACCGACACATGAGTAAGCAGTAAATATAACACTACTATATCACTTACCGAAAAAAAATGAAGCATCAACTTGTTGGATGGTCTGTTAACCGCACATTCAAGCTGTTAGCCTCCTGACCTGCTATACATCACATCATGTATATTTATATGTGATTGAGAACATAAAACTCAACATTAACCCTGTGTTACACCCTGAAAATCAATGATTAATTAGTAAGGAAGTGAGTTTCTACATGATCTTTTTAACAGGGATAAATCAAAGACCTATTGTCCAGTTTTCTTTGCTTGTCTGTTGTAAAGTCAAATTCTGTAAACGTACAACTGAGGAAGTGTGATCTTAGCAACTCAACAGTCATAATCATGAAACACAAAATGTGTTACAGACCAACATAACAGGAGGCTGTACATGTGTTCACTGCTAGACATTTTATTGTAAATTGTTGATTTACAGCATCACTACTGTAATTATTTTTTAAAGTAAAACAGTCTTACCGTAACTGAATGTTACAGTGAGATTGAACATGTTTATATTTACAGTAAAAATGTGCTAGTAAAATTGTGGATTTGAATAGGTTTATAGACGTACAAACTCTTATTCAGACATAATTCAATCTATCAAAACTCTAACTCACTGACAAATATTAGACTCTCACTACAGTAAATTCTCAAACACAGTAGATAGGAAACAGATGAAAGCAGAAGCAAAATGATAAGTTATTTTAAAAGGTCATGGCAGCAGGGACAAATTAGTTTCTCATTCTCTTTGTGAAGAAAAGTGAACTTCATGCTGGAAAGTTGTGCTCAATTAGCTGCTCAATATGTTTCACAGAAAACTGTGCCATAGATCTAAAACCAGGACAATGACTGGTTTTGAGCTTTGTTATATAACGAATGCAGATTAAAATTCAAGATGATGTGTTTCTGACTTCCGTAAATGCTTTCGACTTTTAATCAAAGCTTTGCAATTCATCAATGCATGGCGACAGTAATTAGTTTGATAACATATTAAATAAGAGTTGCAGTCTTGGGATTGGGTTAAATTTGCCAACTTTGATGTGCCGACATTGAAGTAGACTATTTTATCAGGAGAGATTCTCCCAGGTCTTTGGTTTGATAATCAGCACTGTATACACTTCATTACCGTGTAGCATTCTGGATAAATAGCTGTATTTTCTTTACTTGTTCTTGGATAATTACTTTATGTAAATTTCTCTACTTCTATAAAATAGATTATTAAATTAGCATTCTGGCTGAGGCCAACATACATCAAAAAAGGCCTTTCACATTTAGGTTTTAGCATGGTTGATGTGATTGCAAGCTATATTTTCAGCTTTCCTATTCTTATCTTGGCCTACTGCAGCATCAACTAAATTTAGACAAAGCTCACAACTTACTTCCCCCCCACTTCAACAATCTCACTTAATATCTTTACATAAGTTACAAACTTGTTATTCTAAATTATGTCTTTGAGGAAACGTTCATGATGTTTTGATGAAATTGTAATCATGCGGTAAAGGAATTAGCGTCTCTGTTGAAGAGATGGGTGGCTCTTAAAAGAGCCGTTGTGTTTATTTAAGCCGGTTGTGGATGTTTACTTCTTGGCGGCCTTTTCTGTCTTCTTGGGCAGGAGAACAGCCTGGATGTTGGGCAGCACGCCGCCCTGAGCGATAGTCACTCCTCCCAGCAGCTTGTTGAGCTCCTCGTCGTTACGGACAGCCAGCTGCAGGTGACGGGGGATGATACGGGTCTTCTTGTTGTCACGGGCAGCGTTACCGGCCAGCTCCAGGATCTCAGCGGTCAGATACTCCAGCACGGCCGCCAGATAGACGGGGGCACCGGCTCCCACACGCTGAGCATAGTTTCCTTTGCGGAGCAGCCTGTGAACACGACCGACCGGGAACTGGAGTCCGGCCCGAGAAGAGCGAGTCTTTGCCTTTGCTCTGGCTTTGCCGCCGGTTTTACCTCTTCCACTCATTTTGGGATATTCTTTCTTGAGTTAAAGCTCAGAGAAATGATGCTCGATACTCGGCTACAACCGGCTTTATAAGCCCACTGAGCGCGCGGGGTCGATCCGCTGGACCAATCAGAAAAGAGTCCTCTAGTGGGGCAGCAGAGGGCGGACCACTTCAAGATTTGGCGGACAGTTTGAAAAAACAATTCTCCAATTAGCAGCGGAGATTGAGGCAGGGGCTCGTGCTGCATTCATGTGATGTCGGTAACATCAAAAACATTAACAAAACATATTTTGCCCCCAGGTGATGACGACTCTGTCATCAAGTCGGGCACCTAATTATTTTCCAAAGTGTTGTTCCAACTCGAGCAGGTGTTCATGCGCATTTTACAACTCGGAAACTTGTTGTTAATGGTAACATACTTTTTATTAATTCATGTAGGCCTATTGCACATACAAGTTTTGCTCAAATGTAACTTTTAACAGTTACATTTCACTGATCTTCTTGAATCAGCGCTGTTTTGTGCTGTTGTTACAATATTTAGACTTTTTGTACTGAAATAACGACTTCTCAACTCGTAAGTTTGACCACCCGAGCAGCACTTGAATGCAGCATCGCTCCCCCCGGCTGGGCTGAGCTCGAGGAGCAGTCCGTGACCAATCAGAGGCCAGAGCTCTGAAGCAGCGTCACAGTTTCACATCCGCTCCTCCGCTTTAAGAGCAGCTCGTCTCCGCTGCTTTCATTACACTTTTTCTCCCATTCAGAGAAAGAAGAGAAGATGGCAAGAACCAAGCAGACCGCTCGTAAGTCCACCGGAGGCAAAGCCCCCAGGAAGCAGCTGGCCACCAAGGCTGCCCGTAAGAGCGCCCCGGCCACCGGCGGCGTGAAGAAACCTCATCGTTACAGGCCCGGTACCGTGGCTCTCAGAGAGATCCGTCGCTACCAGAAATCCACCGAGCTGCTCATCCGCAAGCTGCCCTTCCAGCGTCTGGTCCGTGAGATCGCTCAGGACTTCAAGACCGATCTGCGTTTCCAGAGCTCCGCCGTCATGGCTCTGCAGGAGGCCAGCGAGGCTTACCTGGTCGGTCTCTTCGAGGACACCAATCTGTGCGCCATCCACGCCAAGAGGGTCACCATCATGCCCAAAGACATCCAGCTGGCCAGAAGGATCCGCGGAGAGAGAGCTTAAACTATCTGCTCCTTAAACAACATCCACAACGGCTCTTTTAAGAGCCACCTACCTCACACTGAAGAGATTCATCCTACACTGAAATACATTTTTGAATTGACACTAAACATCATGCATCTGGAACTTAACGGGATACTCTGTCCATTTGCATTGAGCTTCATAGCATTAGAAACCTGGCAGTGTTTATTTATTTATTTTTCCCAATGGTTGTGCATCCCGCCATCGTTTTTCCCTGAGATGGGAAATCTTTCTATTTCTGAGTCTGAAAAAGAGCCTCCAATGATGGAAAATAGCGATTTTTTTTGCGTCACTGGAAGCTGTTGTGCATGTACATGGTTTTGAAACTCCAAGCTCCAAATAAGGTTAAGTTAATTTTGTTCCTATTCCGATCCAAACCCTGGTGATATATCTAAGAAATGAAACACATACTTAATCATTACAATAAGCCATATGAGAGTCATAAAATTACAAAAAGGAGAAAAAGTATCTCTAAGTTTCAAATCCCAGTCTAACAAATAGAAACACATGCAGTTGTCATACAGGAATATAATTATGTTAAGAAAATTTATTTCTGATAATAGTCCATTGTCGTGTTTGTGTAGGTCATTCCAGATGTGTTTGTTCACCACCTTATTTGCCTCAATGAAGGTTTATTCTCTGGTGGGCCCACTGCCCAACAGACCTGTAGTATTGCTTAATATGTAAATTATGTAACCTGAAACTTTCTCAATCAGTCAGACATAGTGTGATCTTTCTGAATTCACATCAATTCAAATCGAATCAATTTGAATGTCCCTCATGATCAATAAAGTATATCTATCTAATATAATCTATCACCAAATCACACTTTCTAACCTTTTCAATAACACAGCAAATAGTGATTTATAGTTAAATTGGATAAATTGGTGGATTTATCTTCCGAAATAGAGCAATAATAAGCTAAATAAAATTAATGTGTATCAAAAAAAGAACAGCTATTAGGATCTAAACCATAAAACAAAGCGATGTAGGCATATTTACCTCTCTGCATAGAGTTAAAAAAGAAGACTGCGATGAACTGTAATACACACTTCTGTCCGGGAGGTGGCGATAATGCAGAATGAAGCTGTTTGTTAACCGTCAATAAACCACAGAAGAAGAAGGAGAATGCGCATGTTGAGGAGCAAAAAGAGACGATTGAAAGGTGACATTATCTGCTTTCATTCTGTATTAATGTATCTGTGTCATTATAAGTGTTTCTTGTAGTTTCCAGCTGTTAACGCTTTCATTGTAACATTTTGAATACGCTTACGGCTGCTATGGTGTCACTCTTTGTCCTCTCTTACCTCCTCATTTGAAGGACGACAGAAAGAGTGACATTCTTGAAAAAGCCACGTATAGGTATTAATATCTATAAACACATGACCGACCTCTTTCTATAAGTTGTGTACCTCACAAAGTTACTGAATGTGAGCACAGCGAGGATATGGGCTGGTTAAAGCCAGAATGATGCAGGCAGGTGTTATATCGAGAAATGCATCCCTGCCAATAATTGCATGCACCTCGCGGAAGTGTTAGAAAGCGGCATGTCTGTGTAAATATGACCTGCAAACAGTGTTAGACTCTGAAGTGTTTGTAGAGTAAATGAAGGGTGCATATTAAATACAGCAGTGTAGAAATTGTTTCTGCCATAATTTGCATTATCCTGCAAGGTGCATGCAATTCTCGACAGGCATGCATTTTTCGGTATAACACCGGTGTTACGGTTTACACGGTGACTGTGTTAACACTTTCAGCCTGAACGGCGTTTTTAGTAATTTGGAGGCCACGGGCAAAGAGAAATATAAGGCGTCAACATAAGGCTGCAAGTGTTGGGGAAGGAAAGCAATCAATCAGTCAGACTTGTAATTGTCCTGTTGTGATTTTTCTGTGTTATTCACTCTTCTAGAGTTGTTAGTGTGTTCATGGACATGACAAAAACTCAAAAAGAACATTGTATAAATACATTTTCCTGTTTAATTGACCAGAGTTGTTTCTGTCTGTGCAGGAAGGAAGCAAAGATGAGGGTTTCCACGAGTCACCTGCAGCAGCTCACCATCTTCACCACCCTGCTGACCGGAGGAGGGATGGGCACCATGTACTACCTTCAGCAGAGTGAGTACAAGTGCTTATACTATGAAGCGAGTTCAACTCACCCAGGGTATCTATCAGGTTACCTGGAATTACTAACCCTGACTTTAAAGATCACGTTAAACAATCCCACCGAGCCTGCTGTCAGTGGATCGTTATATATGAGCAAACTATCGAACTGTTGAAAATGATGAAGAACAACCATCAGATAGAAGAAAAATCCCCGAATGCGTAAACTCAAATTAAGGTTTATGATACCGACAAGAATGACTAATTTCTTCCCTTCTTGAATTTATTGCTCTGATTTTTTTTCTTGTGGAGTGTATGACAGTTTTTAATGTAATATTTCAGCGGCATGGAACCAATACAAATGACAATGCAAAGTGATAAGTATGCATCCTTTTTAAGGCTTGTCAAACAAACAATTTTTAATCGATGGATTTCATTAGTTATTGTTATTTATTGCTTCTTTGAAATTTCATTCTTTTGTATTTAAACGTTTTTAATAGGCTTTTATTTTGAATTATTTTACTCACTTCAGACTGAGGGTACTTTACTTCCTGTTTGAATACAAACCTGCATTAATTAAAAAATAAATAAATAAGGACATTCGGGTAGATTAAAGGTTATGACATTAACTTAACTATGGAAAAAGGTGGATTAATTTCAGACCAAAAGTGGAGAAAATATTCCGCTCATGTTGTTCCAGTGAGTTTGGGCACTAAGGGGAGCTCATATCAAAAGAAAAATAAATATTCACACCAGGGATTGTCACCAATTACACATCATTTCTTGGTTAATAAAATCCCCTGGTTGAGATTTCTTTGATGGAGACCAAGTACTGTCTTTGTGTCGCAGCAAAAGTTCATCTGTTTCTGGTGAATCTCAGTTTCACTGTAAATAGTAAATTTCAGAAAGGCTTCACTCAGGCTTACTTCAGCAGGATTTTGCCAAGAAATAAACTTAATGTTTGCAGAAATAACAACACCATGAAGCAGATTTGTGAAAAGTAAAAAGTCAAGCTTTGTCAGGTCTTGTCCTCAAGAGGAGAAGAAAACTTGTGAAACTTTTCTTGAATGGAGGTCGGAGTTCTCCTTTCTGATGACTTCAGGGTAGTCAGGAACTCTCAAAGTGTGTCAAACTCATTTGTTGATTTACTTTAAAAAAAATCTTGAGCTCATGCTTTTGACACATATTTAGCCTCGTTTGTTGCACATTCAAGCATGTGTGAAAATGCATCGCTCAAAGACTTCACCTTGCCTATGTTCTAAACACTTTTTCTGTGATTTTGGGAAATGTTGAGCTCTGTGTGAAGGTTTGAAAAAGTTCTGCCTGTAGGTTTCCACACTACTGATGACACATCGAGTCAGCTCACATTTTTTTCCTCAACCAACACTTTCTGTCATAAATATTAATTTAATTTTTTTTTTACTTCTCTGTCCGCTTTGTATTAGAGAGATTCAGTGAGTCGGACTATCACCGACTGGCTCTGCAGAAATTAGAAGATTGTCCGGTTGCCATGGAGAGCCTGGGGGCACCGCCTTTAAAAGTCCACAACATCCATCTATCTGACAGACATAACCGAGTAGACCTGCACACTTCACAGGTACTGTCGATCATAAAGTCAGCTTAGTCTTATTTGTGTGTTTTGTGTGTTATAGTTAAGCTTTAACCAGCCCTTCATTGGTGTCCCTGTGTGTCTCATTGCAAGTGTTTGGTTTTTTTTGGCTCCCTTGTCCTTGTAATTTCTTTAAGACGTCTGAGTTTGATCATAGCTGCATTAAACCCAGGTTAACTTTTAGCTTTACCTTGGAGTTTTTCCATTTAGTAACTGAGCTACAGTAATGTCAGAGATCTTTTTCAAAGCAGACAATTTGTGCCAACAAAAGTTAAGAGTTTGTTCCAATTGAAAAAACCTTAAGGACACTGGAGAGTTTCAAGTCGGCAACAATATGGCACCAGCAGGATGGTATTTAATAAGGGGCTGTTTCCAGTGTTAATCTTCACACCATTTTCTAATTTAGTCATAGTTATAGTCTCCTGACAAAAATGTCCTTTATATTTAATCAGATATTAGTCATTTGTTATTGATTTCATTTAGTCAATTATTCACTGACTAAAATTGCACATCATTTTAGTTGACGAAGATATTTTAGTCAACAAAGCGGGGCTTCACGGACCTGCAGGCGAGAGGCTCCAGGCTGCACATTGTTGCACTCACCACACACGCTCACCTTTGATGAAGTCTGCTGTGGTTTACAATGATTTTAGAACAGCTGAGGGGGTTTAACGCTTCTTTATCAAGGACGTGATAATCCTCACTTGATGATGAAGTTATATTATTTATAAAATTGTCAAATAGCGGAGTTTCTTCTCTAACGTCATAGTTGACTAATTTAAAAAGACCTTTGTCAACCAAATTTTACGTCATTTATTTCGTTGACGAGATTAACACTGGCTGTATCACAAGCTATTTTATACCTTTATGCGCATTGTAGTTACGCTGCTATCACGACTCCCTGCTCCAGCTATGATGGAAAAGTACAACACTGAACTTTTATAAAACTCCCTGATGGCTCAGTTGACCTTTCAAGAGTTCTGTAAAATTAGGTTTATAGGACACTTTATTCTTATTTTTATTTCGGGGCTTTTTAAACATTTATTGAGAGCCAGGAGAGTGAATAGAGTCAGATATTGGGGAGAGAGTGGGGAATTGATATGTGGAAAAGAAGCCACAGGCCGGATTCGAACCCTGGCCACAGGCTTCGAGGACTTATAGACTATGTACATAGGAATCTCCTAAGCAGCTCCGCAGAGTGCATTTCTAACAAACACCTGCACGTTTATACGTCTTTTGTAAGCTTGATGTTGATTAATGTTTCAGCTTGTGCGCCACACCACCATGGTGTCTTCACCTTTAACAATCAGTCCAAGCACTTGTACACGTACATTTTGGTGTGGTTTGTGTTGCAGATAAAGATTCCTGTGACCGGGTCCAAAGATGGAGGTTATCTGTACACTTCTTCAATCAGAGATTCTGACACCAACAGGTGAGTACTTTCTGAATTCTTAAGGGTTTCGTGAAATGTATTCTTAAACTTAAGTGTCAAATCTGTAGAGAATATTCTGAGTCAGGTACAGCCCAAGACTTGGGATATGTTGTACTCTAACAGACTCAACTCCAATTTCTATCTGACACACTTTATTTTGAAGGTACATGTAAATATGACATTGTCAGAATAGAATTTGCGGAACTCTCCCGCAGCCTGTCTGACCTGTCTGTCCCTCCTGCAGGTGGAGACTGAAACAGGCAGTTCTGAGGCTCCGAGAAGGACAGACCATCGACCTGCTGAGTCCTCCATCAGCTGCAGACGACACACAGGGCCTGGATACAGGCCACTGGCAATGACTGAATCTAAAAAGGACACTCAGTACGATTACATGCATTTAGAAGAAAAGCATTTATTTTGTTAGTCCGACTGAAATTGTAATAAAATTTCTCAAAGTTACACTAGCACACCTAGATCACGCTGTTTGGGGTTGATTTACTCTACATGTAAACACCTCATTAGGACCCAAACTGGACTATTCATTCTGAGCATGGTCCTCAGTTCCTGCGCCAGGCTTTGATCTGAAAGTCTTGCAACATAAATGCTTAACACAGCAAAAGTCACCTTTTCATCAATCCATCAATCAATCAATCTTCATTTGTATAGCGTCAATTCATAATAAGTGTTATCTCGATACACTTCACAAAAAGCAGGTAAAACACCATCTGTCTTCGGACATCACCTTAAGTTGGGATAGCGTGCTCACATTTGAACAATAAAGTGTGGAGTATATAGGAAATGTACAGATGTGTAGACTTGTGCGTGTAAACGTACTAATTCACCTGATGATGCAGGTGTATATACTAAAGGACATTTCTTTGACCTCTGCAGCATTTTGGAGTTTGAGCAGGTACTCATGATGCTCCTTTTACAAACACTCATCTGAATTGTCTATTAAATTATTTGATTCTGACTGTTTCATTATTTATGTTTTTAATTAATTCAAGGTGTGATGTTTGACATTATGCGACAATTAGTAGACGGAATTTCAACTTTTATCATTCAATGTTTGTGCCCTCTTTGATAATTGAAGTGCTGATGAATCTTTTTGAATCATTGGGGCTTTAAACTCAACGCGACATCTGGTGGTTTGTAAAGCTTATTGCCGCCTTTTAATGCCGGTCTGAAGCAATCCTACTATCCCATTAAAACTACTGCTGCATTGCTATTGTTAATATTTAGCTCTAAACTTGCCGGCAAAACAAGTGACCTTTAGACAGCTACATTATATCTGATGAACTGTGTGTTTAAAAGAGGCAGAGAGGGTTTCTTTGAGACTTTGACCACATCCTCTTTCCTGGTGACCAAGATAGTCACCACTTCCAAAAACAAAATATGTTTCCTCCTCCTAAAGCACAACACATAGCCTACAAAGGTAAGCAACTGAGTTCTTTGAGCTGTGTTAGTGAACATTATGTAGAAATGAGTCTAAATTGGCCTACAGAGATATGTTTTTATTATGGTATTGTGATGATATTTCTTGTTGTAGGCTACTTTTTGCTCAGTCATTATTGGAAATCTGTACAACCGAAGTTTGAGACAAAACATGGCTCCAAAATCAATTTCTATAAACAGATGGCTGCTGGCTGCGAATGAATCTACTTATGGGTACAAATGAAGTAACCTGAAACTGACTATTGACAAGACATTTGAACTCTGATCTGCCCTTTGTTTCATCATGAAGTAGGCTAGGCTTACAAAGTTCTTTAATAAAATGTATTTTTTGTTTGTTTGTTTACTGTCAGTCATCCTCCACCACCCCAAACTCAGTATCCACAGAATATGACATTATAAAATATGTATGACCGCACATTCAGTCTACTTTAAATGACTGTTCACTTTGTTGCAAAAGTTTGTTCAACAGCGCCTTTTCTTCCTTTTGCTCCTGTAGTCTTGAAACTGCAAGACATGTTGCCATGGAAACATGATGTACCGTAGAGATCCGCTCTAAACCCATAAAGCAGCTCGACCAATCAGAAGCGTGGGACGACACAGTAGATTTACATACTGGCCGTATACGTCGCCCCTCCTATCTGAAAAGCCTGTGAACGACGCATGAATTCCTGAACCAGCGAGATCAAAGACACCAAACCATAACCATGACATACCTGTGAGAAACTACCCTGTCCTCCAGAAAACCAGAACTGAGCACAACATTTAACACCCCCATGTCATGATCACCAGCAAGTAGACAAATGTCACATGATGCACACACCCAGATAAATGACAATACATAAACTATAGATATTTTGGATGTGTCTACTTTCGTTGTATTTTGGTGCATTGGTCTGCATGTTCCCTTCAAGCCCTCTGCCACCCCCAACCTTCAGATAGCTAAAGGCACAAGCCCTGAGCTATCCCACCAGGCTCATAGTCCATTTTTAGACTTCTACTGGATTAATTCCAGATTTTTCTGAATCGAGGTGACTCATGGATAGCCACATGACAATGGGAAACATTTTACAAGATGAGTTTGGTGAAAACATGAAAATGACATGACAGCCACAGTAATAAATGTTTTAATTTTAAAAATTATACATGAAAAAGTTTGTGTTAAAGCACACCATTTACACAGTCCACTCCCATTTTTACTGGGGAAGCATGTTAAATCCTGGTACACACACAAAGGTTAAAAACAAATGTTAGCTGCTTCCATGACAAAGACAGACTGATATGTTCAGATGAATTTATTTGAAAATCCACTTCAGTTTCTTCACATTCTCTTTAAATGTTCAAGATACAGCTTTCATTTGAAACACCTTACATAAACAGTGCATCAGACCCAAACATTAATGACTGTACTCTGGTAGGACTGCTCTTCTTTTCTACCACAGCTCAATGCTGCCTACAGAAGCTATTACATGGCATGCAGCCTCAACTTTGTTGACAAAACATCCCGGTGTTTCAGAAATGTCTAATAACATTAAAAAGGTCCCAATAGATTTGGTGTATTTAATAGTATTCAGTGGGTTTTGTCCAGGTAGTGACAAACACACAGTCATAGTCATTATGGGCTTAACATTATAATAACTGTAATCTAAAGTTTTACAGTACAACACTTAAGCTGAACATTTACTCTTCAGACGAAGTGGGTGGCTCTTAAAAGAGCCGTTGGGTTTGCTTGGCAGAAAAGCAGTTTACTTGGAGCTGGTGTACTTAGTGACGGCCTTGGTGCCCTCAGACACGGCGTGCTTAGCCAGCTCTCCGGGCAGCAGCAGGCGGACAGCGGTCTGGATCTCCCTGGAGGTGATGGTGGAGCGCTTGTTGTAATGAGCCAGACGGGAAGCCTCCCCGGCGATACGCTCAAAGATATCACTCACGAAGGAGTTCATGATACCCATGGCCTTGGAGGAGATCCCGGTGTCGGGGTGGACCTGCTTCAGGACTTTGTACACGTAGATGGCATAGCTCTCCTTCCTGGTCTTTCGTCTCTTCTTGCCGGTCTTGCTGGTGGTTTTGGAGACGGCTTTCTTGGAACCCTTCTTAGGGGCGGGTTTCGATGGTTCAGGCATGATGATGCAGAACTGTCACCTACCCTTGAGCGAGCTCCTGCTTTTATATAGTCTGTATGCAAATACTACTGTGTTGTCTCTCGCCTGTGATTGGTTGACGCGCTGATATGTGGTTTCCTGTTTTCATGGTAACTTGCCTTCGTGTAAACTGGTTTACAGATATAATCTGAGAGAAAACGTCCAAAATCAAAGTGTAAATTTACACCTTAACACTGTTACACTGCCTGTCTTACTGGTCAACTTGTAGTCAGCAAACTTCAGCCTTGTATCCTCTTTTATGCAAAGATCAAGACCAGCACTCTCACCGACATTACATTAATATGAGAATGTAAGAGAGAAATAAAGAGAGACAAGCTGTGTTAAAGGAATATAAGGATGATTTATTTTAGAGTGGATCAAAACTGCTACAAGTCCATAAAGATATATAACTGAATATATTTTAGCATAGTTGTATGAGGTACTATCAATGGTAAGTTTATTACCCATAGAAATGTTCTCTATAACGAGAAACTAGACAGTATACTGGCACATATGCTAGGCTATACATGCTCAAAGACAGGTGCAGTTTCCCCACATAATTTAGCAAATTTGTAGGACAAAATGATCCAAAAACAATGTTGGCTTGAATGTAGATGTATAGTAAAAAATTGACAGCGTTATACTTTTCCTTAAAAGCCTGTTTCTGTCAATACTATTTCACAGGTGCACTGCATGCTGCAGACTGATCAGCTGTTAGGTCTGCTGCAGGAAAAGTGACAAAAAAATACAGCCTAACACAAAATGATACCTCTGTAAACCAGAACAAGGAAGACTGAGTGGGCCAACAGGGAGACAGCAGAAATTTTCTAAATCCCATGGAAAGTCTGAATCGGGCCAAACAGCTGATCGGCCCGCTGCGTGCAGTGCATCTGTGAAATAGCACTAAAACAAACAGGCTTATTTTGTCCTACAAATTTGCTTAATTATGAGGAGAAACAGCACCTGTCTTTGGCAATGTACTGTAGCCTAGCATGTGTGCCGGTATTCTGTCTAGTTTCTCATTAAAGAGGATGAGATGACCTACATTTATGTGGGTAATAAACTTACCATTGATACTACCTAAAAACTGCACACTGCGTTGCTCGCAGTCAGTCAGTCCAATAGGAAACAAAAGAATCAGATGGATTTTGCTGCTGACGCTCGCTCACCTATTTTTTCTGTAGAACTCCAAGGCCTTGTGGACCCACACCTGAAACAGAAATCAGCAAATAAAACAAATGCATTTGAAAATGATGCACATCTCCTTAAGTTATGGATGGATGTTTTATTTTTCTACTTTTTATGGAGGCAGCTGTGAAGACATGGGAACATAGTGACATATCTGATTAGAAATTGCTTCAGTATTTTGGTGTTTCGGGACAACAACTAATAATTAGATTTATCAGGTGACCCTTCCTGTAATGTGTTGTAAAATACACTTTGTTTGCTGGAAACGTGGTGATAATTACATGCATGTAGATCGGGGTCATCTGATTTTGAAACTAAAAATTTATGATTTCTAGCACTCAATGTTTATACATTAAAAAAAGCAGCACTCATCACATCCCATCTGAAAGCTCCTATATGCAGAGCTGCAGACTGGGGTCTGTGTGATCAATGACCACATGTTCCATACAGTATGATGCTTAACATGCACAGAAAGTTACCATGACTCCATATTGCTGTTCATGACCTGTTTTTATTTATATTTTAAATATAATTTTAAAGAGAGAGAGAAAGAGCATGCGTGCAATGTGTACGCTAGACATCGCACTGCTTGGATCTCAACTGTCCTTGAGCCCTCGGCCTAGGCTCTGTGTTTTAAAAAGATTCACTCTCTGTGGGGAGACAAGATGCAGCAAAACCAAGAGAGAACAGAATAACAGATAGGTTCATTCCTCTTATAAATGCACCACCTTGCTCAGTTAAACTGAAGTCACTCATGGCTTCATTTCAATAACATTCATGTACAGCTGCGTGCCGCTCTTTGAGTAATAACAGAATATCGCGTGGAACTTTTTAAAACACGAGACGTAATCCCGATGTTTCTGTCTGTGCGCATGTGTGGAGAAAAAGAGGACAAAAGATGGGAATGGCGCAGCGGGGGGCAATCGTGCTCGAGTACAGCACGGTACAGATGACCAGTGTGACCGCGCCCTTAGAGCGCCGTTTTTTCAACAGCTGAACCGACGCTGCTGATTGAGCTGTGTGTTTAGAACTCAAAAAGCACATGTACATAAAAAATTGCTTTTTTTAAATTTAGTCTTGAATGTGTAAGTACGTCGGAGGACTAGGGCCATGTTTCTTTTTTAAATTTCGAGATTAGAGTCGTAAGTTTACCGACTACATATTTGTATTTCCGGAGCTTTATGTTGAGCTTTATGTTGGCTTCAGGCAGAGCACACAGACGAGAGTGCGCCAGGATGCAGCCATACAGTCTTAGAAATGATGGATGATGATTCTGCGAGATGGCGGTGTTGGGGAGGAGCAGGGGCGCACGAAACATAAGCATGGAGGGACTAAGGGGGCGGTCACACTGGCCATTCGTACCGTGACCAAGCACGCTTCAACGCTAAAGTCCAGTTCGTTTGACCGCTCCGTATTGTGCTCAGGCACGGTACACGTGGTACACGTCCTTGGCTTTGGCACACTTCATGCACAAGCACGTGGGTAAACAACGTTGACAGCCTTCATTTTAGAGAAATCAAATTTCATGACTTTCTGATTTAAATGACACAATATAAAACATAACGTAGCTGTCATGTTCTGTGTGTTGTTCTCAGATGTGTGGGCAACCCTTCCTACTGTATTTACTTACCAATATAAATGTTTCGGTAACAAAACTTTTGTTTAGTTAGAAGAGTGCTGGCAGGTATATTAACATTGGTAACTTTAAATAGTATTAGTAGTAAGATTTGGTTGTTATTGCTAATGGATGATGACTCTTCTATGTTAAAGTGGGCGGCCCTTAAAAGGGCCTTTGGTTTTAGGGTTGTCAGAGATGGATGTTTAACCTCCGAATCCGTACAGAGTACGTCCCTGTCTCTTCAGGGCGTACACCACATCCATGGCGGTGACAGTCTTCCTCTTGGCGTGCTCGGTGTAGGTGACGGCATCACGGATCACGTTCTCCAGAAACACCTTCAACACACCGCGAGTCTCCTCGTAGATCAGACCGGAGATACGTTTCACACCACCACGGCGAGCCAGACGGCGGATAGCGGGCTTAGTGATTCCCTGGATGTTATCACGGAGGACTTTACGATGACGCTTAGCGCCTCCTTTACCGAGTCCTTTACCTCCCTTTCCTCTTCCAGACATAGTTATAAGCTGATTGTTTTCAACCGAAGATCATGTGCTGAGAAATGCCCATCAATATATATATCACAAGAGGACCTAAATGAAGACATGGCGCATGTTCTTCTTCTGTTAGTTGATTATTTACTAACTCTTCTTAGCTTTAGCGCCCCCGACTGGACGGCAGAATAAAGTGAATCAGACACAGCTTGAGTGAGCTCCACATCGTCCTGGAAGAAAATGTCTGTTACTTGCCTTTGCTGAAAGAGTCATGGAAAAAGTTAACAAAACCCAACCAAAAGTCTGACCATTAACGAGGACAAGAACATTAAAAAAATTAAACTGTATTTGATAAATATATTTACAAAACATGGACACCCTTAGCGATCATATCACAGACACACATTACTCCATACATCACTCATTTATTTCTTGTAAATGAGTGATGTAGCATGTAGGCCTATTGATTTATCCCAGCATAACAATGTAGGGTTTCTTATAACGTGTTAATGTCTTGAAATATCGAGAAAATAAATAACATAAAAACACGTTATCATGTCAAAAAAAAAAAAATCTTGACTGTCTGCTTCGGACTTCAGGAAACCAAAACGTCTTAATTTGAGTTCTCATTTCAGGAGCAAACAAACAGGAAGCAATGCTGATCAATTTTACAATAATGTCCTTATAGGTAAAACATTGTAGGCTATCGTCTTTTAACTTCACCACCAAGTTCAACACAACCGTAAACATGCAGAGAAGATTATGTTCTCATTGTCTTATCACAAAGTTTTCTCATTTGCTGTTTGAATTGTTTTCCTTTCCTTACATGAAGCAACCCTGTATTTTGATGTAGAAAATCTGATTTAAAGTCAATTTGTTGATGCAAATAAAAAAACACACGGATGATGAATAAATAAAATCGCAAATTTCACCATTAAGAAAAGCCAAAACATTAATTCAGCTCCTGCTGTTGATTAGTTGAGTCATGTGAGTCTTGTCCACAGCACTGATAAACCTTTGTGTCCAGGCCAAATGGCTTGAATGTTACATCCACAGCTGCCCTTCCAGGCCATTGAACCTCTCCCGAGCACAAGTTGAAAGCCTAAAGGTGTAATAATGTTCTAAAGTTACAATGAACATCCTGTGGCCCCTCATTCATTTTCATGAAATAACGAGAAGGTGAGATCTGTTACAGACACTGACCCACTACTGGGAAGAAAAGAATGTGCAGTGGGAAAAACATTTAACCTTATCCTTGATACTTAATCACAAACTGTTTCAAACTTCTTCCATGTTATACCACTTCCAAATAACAAAAAAGGACTTGTTAATGACTCATCCAGACATCTGTTTATTAATGGTAAATGTCTTCGGACTACTCAAAGCACTTTCACACTGCACGTCACACACTGATAGTAGTGGTCGCTATGTAGATCAGTAGATTTACACTTCCTCAATCACTAAAGCTTTTGTGTTTGACTGATCATCCGTTCTACCCTTCACTAGATGTTTAATTGATTGTGACTGCTATTCTTTTCTCAATCACAAGATCAGGTAGCTTTTTGAGAGAAGATGAGACTTCCCACCCCAAAGTTAATCATTTCAGTGATGGCGCTGTATGGTTTATAAACAGTGTAATACCAAACACTTCATGATCACAGATGAATATGGTTTAAGACGTGAGTATTTAGGCTTATACTTTATTGGGTAAGATTTTTTTTTGTACTGTGTTCACTTTAAATTTCCCCATTGTGAGGTAAATAAAGGATTCTTATTTTACATGCTTCAGTATTGAGAGGATAGGATAAATGTCTTTAGTGTGAGGTAGGTGGCTCTTAAAAGAGCCGTTGTGGATGTTGTTTAAGGAGCAGATAGTTTAAGCTCTCTCTCCGCGGATCCTTCTGGCCAGCTGGATGTCTTTGGGCATGATGGTGACCCTCTTGGCGTGGATGGCGCACAGATTGGTGTCCTCGAAGAGACCGACCAGGTAAGCCTCGCTGGCCTCCTGCAGAGCCATGACGGCGGAGCTCTGGAAACGCAGGTCGGTCTTGAAGTCCTGAGCGATCTCACGGACCAGACGCTGGAAGGGCAGCTTGCGGATGAGCAGCTCGGTGGATTTCTGGTAGCGACGGATCTCTCTGAGAGCGACGGTACCGGGCCTGTAACGATGAGGTTTCTTCACGCCGCCGGTGGCCGGGGCGCTCTTACGGGCAGCCTTGGTGGCCAGCTGCTTCCTGGGGGCTTTGCCTCCGGTGGACTTACGAGCAGTCTGCTTGGTTCTTGCCATCTTCTCTTCTTTCTCTGAATAGGAGAAAAAGCGTAATGAAAGCAGCGGAGACGAGCTGCTCTTAAAGCGGAGGAGCGGATGTGAAACTGTGACGCTGCTTCAGAGCTCTGGCCTCTGATTGGTCACGGACTGCTCCTCCAGCTCAGCCCCGCCCGGGGGAGCGATGGTGCATTCAATTAGTATCCGACACATCGGTAAAACGAGTTTCCTAGTTGTGAAATGCACATGAACAGTGGCGGTTCTAGACCACTTTTACTGAGGGGGCCAAACTGGGCCAGTTGTTTTGTCAGAGGGGAACATTAAACCCAGGTGAAAAATATATATATATATATATTCTATTATTACTGAACAGACTGGTCAGGAGGGCCAGTTCTGTCTTGGACTGTCCTCTGGACTCTGTAGAGGAGGTGGGTGAGAGGAGGATGTTAGTGAAGCTGACATCCATCATGGACAACCCCTCTCACCCCCTGCATGACACTGTGGGGGCCCTGAGCAGCTCCTTCAGCAGCAGACTCAGACACCCACCCTGCAAGACAGAGCGCTACTGCAGGTCGTTCATCCCATCTGCCGTCAGACTGTTTAATCGGACTCTTTAACAACATCACCACCTCATGCTACACACTGTGTGTTTTTGTAAGAACAAGTTACTGTGTAATTTTACATTATTGTATTTTTTATTTTTTTTATTCAAATGATGTAAATACGTTTGATCTGTTTTTAACTTCTATTTTTATTTTTAATAAGTATATTCCATTCCCCTGTTTTCTGGAGTTGCTGTAATGCACAAATTTCCCCCACGGGCGATCAATAAAGTTTATCTTTATCTTTATTATGCCAAATAATAGCGCACATAATTAAACAACACAACATAAATTACCATGACTTTGTTTCAGTAAAACTTTTTAATACTAGATTGTGAGTCTTGTTTTTGAGTCAATACTGTGTTATTAGGGAGGCTCTTCCTTTTGGAGGCGTCGCCACAGGTGGGACCAAGCTCAGTGTTACAGGTAGGGTTACCACCTTCCAAGCAGAAAAATAAAGGACGGGGTGCAACTCAGTAGAGGCCTGACCACCACTAGCCCAACGGTGTGGGGCACCAGTTGTGGCGAATCATTTTTTAAAACGTTGTTTTAATGAAGTAATAAGAGTCATACTTTAAGTTTTAAGTGCTTTATTTACACTTTTTTCCCTGAAATAATGTATAAAAATGCAAAACTTAAGTGTAAAGGCAGATACAGTAATGTATGCACAATGAAATGCACCTAACAGGACTTCAGCAGATGCTTACTACTAGCTAGGCCTATCTAATTTACAACTTAACTTAAACTTCAAATAAAGTTATTAACTTAACATTAATTCATTAACAGAGTATTATTGAAGTGCTTTTGACACTGCTGTAACATAGAGGGGAGGATGACAGATTTTTAATTAAATAAACGGTACGAATTTAATAGTATTTTTATTCATTTCTTTCTGTAGTTTTTGTGGTTTTCTCATGAAATCATGAATGATACTATTAATATGGTTTTGAACTATTTTCTTATTGTATTAATTAAGTGTCTACTGTCGATATATTGATGTTGTACTGATGATATCTCGCCCAGGCCATAGTGTGAATACAGATTTGATTAAAATAAATGTATTTTTTTTTTTACGTACCAAACCAAACCAACGGACACTCTGAGGGGGCGGGAACTAGCCGGCTGAATGATGCTGAGTTCAAGGCATCTTGGAAATACGGGACAAACCGCGTCCCGTACTGATTCAAAACGGGACGCAATATCAAAGTGTGGGACGGGTGGCAACCGTAGTTACAGGGGCACTGGCCCCTGTCGACCCTGCCTAAACCGTCCATGCACATGAACACCTGTTCAAGGATGTCATAATCGTCATCACCTGGGGGGCAAAATATATTTTGTGAATGTTAACATACTTTTAATGAATTCACATATTTCACCTTACTTCACCAACTTTAACAGTTACATTTAACTGATCTCCTTCGTCGCATCAACGCATTTGTGCTGTTTTTACTACATTCCAATTTTCCAAACTGAAATCACAACTCCTAAATTTGAGTATGAAATAAAATGTATGGAAAACATTGATTTTTTAATTTAATACATTAAGTCACTGCTAACCAAGATGCATTAATGACGTTGAATACAATAAACTCTTACTGTGGAAACATTGGAACATGCTTTTCTACTTGCCTTTAATATGTGACCCAGTCCACAGTGTTATGTGGCTCTTGAAAGAACTGCTGCTATGTCTTGTAAATGCTGAGGGAGTGGAGGGTAAGTGGTGAGGTAACCAATGGGATTTCCCAGAACCGAGTGAGCCTAGATAAACATATATAAGAGCAGTCTATAAATAAAGGGCTCATAATAAGTAATTTTAAACCGAAAGGTAAAGAGAGACTCAGCAGGGAAAACAAGGAAAGTACAGTTCAATGGGTTTGAACTGGGATGTTGGTTAAATAATGATCATGACAGTTAATGAGTCGCAGTTAAGATTCACAATTTACAGGTCATGAATGCAATTTCAATGTGAAGCTCTTTTTAAAGTTTTAAAAGGAATTCTGCCCTTTATGATGTATTGAAATTACAGGATTCACATTAATAACTTATGTATGTTTTACAAAAACCACACTAGATTTCTATTTTCTGATATAATTTAAAACATACAGATGCATCTAAAAAAATTAGAACGTCGTGGAAAAGTCATTTTTGCCCTCTGTAATTTAACTCAAAAAGGGAAATTTTATATTCTAGATCCATTACACACATCACACATTTCAAGCCTTTTAATGTTTTGATCTTGATGATTACAGCAACAAGTCCAGTGTTGAATTAACGCCCACAGAATTGATTTCAACCTTTTTTCAGGGTTTATATAGCTCCACACTTTCTAGAGTCAAATTAACACTTCTGAAATAGTTAAACATTTAACACTGATACTCACAAGGCAACTATGTGAAACATATGCCTGCATGCTGGGACAGTGCGGTTAAAAAATAAAAAAAAAACAGAGAAACATTAGCTTCAACCTCAAAATGTAAACATAAAAAAAGCATAATTTCACTTGCTACAAGCTTTAAAAGTGCCTTATTTATTTTCATTCATGACATTTAAATTATTTTAAGGGTTAGCTAACTGCACGAAGCAGCTTGCTTACATCACTGTGACTGTGGCCATTTAGTTCATGGCAACACATACCAAGCTTTACTTTCACTTTCACAGTTTCACTTTCATTGTGACAAGCATTTTGTGGGTTGGTGCACAGAGACAGTATATAAGCAGCAACAGCACACACTCAGAACTCACTCTTCACTTCAACTGCACCTTCTTCTCTATTCTTTTCAGCTTGAACGTTGCTGACAATTACTACAACCTGAAAATGTCTACAGGTAAGTCATGACAATGAATCCATGACTTAAAGTTCAATAATTTTGCAGCAGTTAATCAAATCTTTATGCTTATTTTTTACATCTGAAATGTTAGAATACATTTAAGATTTTTCAGTTACAAAAAAATGTTTCTTTGGCATTTGATGACTGATAAAACAAAACAAAAAACTTGTGACATGAGTCTGGTTCTGTTTCTGCTTCTTACCTGAGAGAGGCATTGTCTAGAGAAGGGAGGGACGATGCTGAAGGGGAAACATAAGAGACTACATTGACAAATTAAGTTTTTTCTTGCCACTGTAACTTTGCTAAATGTTGCTTAGTGCTCATGATGGATTAATGTTGGGTCTTTGTAGAAAATATACCAAAGAGTAAGGTATTTTACCTCCTGTTTTGTAACATAACAAAGAGTAAGGTCTCGATTGATTTTTCAGTTTTATATCAGTTAAATAAGTTAGTCTTGAAAATGTGTTTGAAATTTCCTTATGTGTTGTGTGTGAACAGCTGATGTACATTAAAGTTCATCCTCACTCTTTCACACAGGATACAGCAGAACAAATAACCAGGAGCTGAGAATGGTGATGGTGGGGAAGACCGGCATTGGAAAGAGTGCCACTGGAAACAACATCCTGGGACGAAAATGCTTTGAGTCCAAGTTCAGTTCAAAGTCGATGACTGAGGACTGTTCTAAGGGCAAAGCTACAGTAGATGGACAAAAGGTTGCTGTTATTGACACCCCGGGCCTCTTTGACACCAGGTTTGGCATGGACAAGACAACTGCAGATTTAAGCCAGTGCATCTCTTATGCTGCTCCTGGACCCCATGTGTTCCTGGTGGTGATCGGACTGGGCAGATTCACTGCAGAAGAGAAGCAGACAGTGCAAAGGATTCAAGAAATCTTTGGCCAGGCAGCAGACAGATACAGCATGGTTCTCTTTACTAGGGGGGATCAACTTGACGAAGACCAAACCATTGAGGACTTCTTAAATGATGACCAAGACCTGCTGGAGCTCGTGGACAGATGTAACGGCCAGTACCATGTCTTCAATAATAAAAAAAAAGATCCCTCTCAGGTCACTGAGCTGCTCCAGAAGATCAGAAGTATTGTCCAGAAGAACGGAGGAAGCCACTACACCAACGAGATGTTCCAAGAGGCTGAGAGGGCAATCGAGGAGAAGAAACAACGCATCCTGAAAGAGAAAGAAGAGCAAATACGCAAAGAAAGAGAAGAACTTGAGAGGGAAGTACAGCAAAAGTATGAAAAGCAGATGAAGAAGATCAGTGATGAACTCCAGGCTGAGAGAGAGAGAGAGAAACAGGAGAGGATGAGGGAGAAGCAGGAGATGACCGAGGAGAGAAAGAGGGAGAAGGAGGAGAGAGAAGCAGAGAGAAAGAGAGAGAGAGAGGAAAAAGAAAGACAGCTGAGTGAATTAAAGGAAAAGTTTGACAGTGATCTGAAAGACCAGATGCAAAATCTGCAGAACCAGCATGAATCTGCGGCCAGAGACGAAGCAGAGCATTCTAATCCGTTATATTTTCTGGTAAAAGCTGGCCAAAGTATTGTTAATGGTGTGAGAGAATTTGGAAAGGCATTGAAAAGCTTGTTTGGGT